GAGACATTAAACACCTTCAATTAACTCCTGCATTGCTGTTTTGTCCTGCCGCTGGACCTGGGTCTTGACAGGTCAGGCTAGTACACACTGAACTTTTGTTTAGATCACTACTAATGTCACATTCCATTGTGAAATTGTACATAGATCAGAAGTGTTTCATGTACTAAAAATTATCTGAGGGATACCTCATTCCACAAGTGTTGCATTTATAAATTGGGGAATGATCTCACTGCTTAGTTACAATTTCTACACTGTGAGTTTCATAAAATGCACAGAATCTGAATTCAAGTTTCCGCGGACCAATTCTGGTACTCGAAAACCTCTCCTCCTTAATATCATAGGGATACATCCATTAGGTCAAATGTCTCAAAGTTTTTCTGGACCTTCCGGGGGAAAACATGAGTTACAAAATATTATCCCCTTAATGTTTGTAGGATATTAGGATAAGCAATACTTGAAACACCATGGACTATAAAGATAATGTAAATTAACATTTTGTTTTGTTTTGTTTTTACCTGGATCTCTTCTATACTATGAACAATAAACATGTCTTGCAAATCTTCCATTGCACCTTCCATCCAGTTGTTGAATGGAGCAGCTCTCTTTGCAAATTCCAGGTGAAGCTGATCAATTGTTTCCAAGAGTTTCTCTGTCCTCTGTTAAGAAGGAACACAGAAACAGCATAAATGAAAGGTTTTCTTTCCAAGCATGTATTTAGTTTGGCTTATGTTTTGGACTTAAATTTGTATACCTCAGAAACAGGATGCAAGCCATTGGGTTAAATGCCTACCCTTGTTATACCTGTCCCTCTCCCTATCTTTGCCAAAGAGTGCCTCCTTCCCTTGCTGGGTTGTGCATTCCTATTCCAAGGAAGGCAATGCTGCCCAGGGAATTAGGTGTTTTGTTTGGGCCCTACTTTATTCTGTTTGTGTATTGTGTTCTAAATCAGAGCTTGTGGGAAGCATAAGATATCCATGTCACTGAGGCACAGTGTTCTTGTAATGGTGTATACTGAAGATGTATGATTTTAAAGAGTCCATACATTCATTCAATGTGGAGGCATCTAGAAATCCTCATGAGCAAAACTTCTGCTGGACAGTTAACCTGTTTCTAGGGACAGTGGATGGGACAGATGTTTTCCACTGTATACATTCTATGGGCCTAGTCAGACTAATGCAATAAAGGTACATCTCCCCCCTGGTCAAGCACATTCCACTGATGTAGGACTGGGTTACCTCCTTTTTAGCCAACACAATTGAAAGAGAATTGCATTGCCCATGTATGTAGCTGATTGTTATGTTTTAAAATACAAGTAAACATAAAACATTTGTAATAAGTAACTCTGCTGCCCAACTTCAACAGAGAAGATTTCCACATAGTCACTTTTCACCTTTTGATTCATTGGTTTAAAAAATATTATTTTCTCCTCATCAGATCATTTGGCCTATCCAAATGGAAGAACTTCTGTCGTCTCTAATATCTGAGTGCTTCTCAACAGCAGTCAAAGGATGATAGCTTCCACAAAACTTACCTTAGAATGATCTGTAATACTCAACTGGATTAAAACTGTATGGGGAAATATTCCCATTGTGCAACAATTTTCCTAAAGGTGGTGCTAGAAGCATCCCCTCCATCCCAACATTAGTCCATTGGGGCTTCGCAATAGCTTTTAGCAATAATGCAATGTTATACCTTTTCTAAGCAGCAAAGAGCCATGTCATGGGAAGTGGGTAGCATAAATAGGAAGTGGGTAAAACTACTGAATATGCTCACGATAATAAATTATACTCATCTGCAAAAAATACATCACCTCCTTAGAAATATTAAGCTGCTTTTTGACATCTGTTTTACCTCCAGTGCCTCTCTCCGTTTCTGCGTGAGCGTCCCCAACCTGTCCCATTGATCACATATCTTCTGACATCTATCGTTGACACTTGCAGCATCATGATAGTCCAATTCACTACAAGAACAGGGTCACAGTGTAAACAGTGAACTAACTGCCATATAAGAGTATAAACATATAAGACTCCATTTGTACAGTCATTAATCTAGAAAATATTTTCCAGTTGCTAACATGGATTAGCATTAAATTTCAGTGTTTCAGCATGCACTTTGAGGTACCTCATGATTTTACATTTTCTCATATTACCTGGGAAAGACCTGGATGAATGTTTAGGTGTAATATCCAGTCTTAGACTTCATAACATCAGAAAATTTACTTTGGATTTAGAACACTGGTTGTATAAACTTAGTTCTATAAATTTTATGGGATTGCCAAATGGGTTTTTGTCCAGGGCTTTTGCGTCATTCATATCTGTCAGCCAAATGACTTTATCACAGGCAAAGAAAAACTTCAGCTGCTAATTATTTTTACATACTATCTGTTAAAGGTGCAGGATCTTTGCCAACAAGCAGGTAGATATATTTGTATTACATTTGCTTTTTCGGCTTAGCATACCATTCCAATGCTGTATTTTCATCGTCTTTCAACACACAAATGATAAGACACATTCTTGTCTTTTTTTAAAAAAAAAAAGTAAAAAGGTCCAATTAAACATTGTAATAACGAATTATCTAGTTAGTTACATACAGCAGCTTCCTAAACCTGCTTTTGAAACTCACTCAAGTTTGCAATAACAGAGGAGCCCATAAAATTACAAGCCTTGACAGCTTGTAGCAAAATTTGGTATTCTACTGGATGTTGGGGATAATTTCCAAAAAGGAACAGCATTCAAAAAATGCAAAACAGAAGCAACAGAATTAGCAGCAGTTCAGCAGATCAGACGTTTCTAGTGCCAGCAGTAGGGTGACTGAGCTTCAGCAACACAGAAGCAGAGTCAAGCTTTAAAAGTTATTAAAAAAAACTTTTATTCAAAGTATTACATAACTAGATAGGAAAATAAATAACAGCCTAGCTATCTAACTCTCACAGCAGACATCTTGTTTCTCTCCATGTTAACAGGAGAAGAACAAGGGGCTTGCCATAGGAGCTTGCCATGTGCTTAGAAAAAGAGGAATGGCTCTGAGAAATATCACTCTAACAAGAAAGGTGAGGGAGACAGGCAGACAGAGAGACAAATGGGGAAAGGGCTTTTCCCTGCTAACTAATTCATCTGCCTAGCAAAATCCATGATGAGAACTACAAATTTGTGCCAGGATTTGGTTGAGTTTCAACACTGGATAGTCTGTGGGCTTCTCCTGATGGTCTGTATGTCCTCTGTCCTTAACTTGTTCATGAGAGTCTCATCATATGCTACATTTAGCTCTTGGCTGCTATTAGAGTACTCTTTGTATGCCAATACTTATCGCAGACGTTATAATGATGTGAGTACATACCAATTTGAGTCAAGGATTTAATCTAACATGAGAAGAACATTTTAAATTCCAGACAAGGAAGGGACGTTTGTAAAAATACCCAGCCTTTGAAGGGATCTGTGGAACCCTTATTTTTAAAAAGTCTTAAGAGAAACAAACAGTTAGGGCAGCCTTCCTCAGTATTTCCCCTCCACATGTATTGGATTACAATACCCATCATCTCCAGACATCCTTTACACTAGGATAATAGTGCTTCTGTGTTGCTGAAAGACAGGCCCTAGAGTCAATATTCCAAGTAAATTACGCTGGATGGTAAACTGTAAATACAAAATCATATCGCAAAAAAAGCATTGAAATTCCGTTTTCAAAAGTAATTGCTCACAGTTATCAATTCAAGGACCACCAGAATAGTTAGAAATTGTCACAGCTGCAATGCTTGTTTGTTTTTTTACATTTTCTCAAAAGTAGTCAACAGAATCACTTTTAAATTTACTTGTTAAAAATTTAAATGCAACTAACCCACTAGAGTTCAGTTCGAAATAGTATCCTATCCTCCTATTCACCTTGCCACAGACTTAGCACCCACAGCAAAGCATAAATGTCCAAAAAAGGTCTGAAGTAGAAGCCAAACCTTGACATTCCTCTTCAATCACATAGGCCCCATCTACACTGACATATTATCCAGTTTCTGAATCCAGATTATCTGCTTTGAACTGGATTATATGGTAGTGTAGAGTCATACTATCCAGTTCAAAGCAAATAATCTGGATTCAGAAACTGGGGCCCCAATTACACTGCCATATAAAATCCAGATTATCTGCTTTGCCCCCTCGATGGACTGTCACCTTGTCGTGGTGAGGGGGCTTGCGCGTTCCGATGAACCTGTAGGCACAACAACTGGAGTCGTGCACTCCCAGGAGTGGCTGCGGGGGAGGTTCCAGACCAAGCACAGTCCGAAGACCCAAAGACCTCAACGGCGGAGCAGGCGGAGGATAACATGGCACATGTTACAACGGCTGCGAAGGCGGAAGAAGGCTGCAACAGACTGAGAAGCCACGGTCATTGTGTTAAACTACATCACCAGTGGAACCTCACTCTGTGAAGTCTGTGTGTTGATCAGTTGTGCACTGACCTCCACACATTAAAAAAACCCACGCACAGGCGTCTTCCAAAGAAAATAAAAACAAACCAACCAAAGTCCCATGGCGATCAGCGAGTGGCGACGGAGGCAGGACTGTGAAATCTGGAAGCCCCTAGTCACAGACTGGCACATGGGCGGTGGGTACGGACTCAGTCGTTCTACCTCAAGGTCCGAGGCAGTTGAGTAGTTCGGCAGCTGTATCCACGACTGAGCAGCCCTTTTTAGGACCCACTCTGCTCACCCCACACGGGGAGGGGGCTAGAAAAGGTGCCCTAAACATAGTCTGCCTCACTCATCCCTGACTGGACTGCCGCGTCCAGTGGGGTCACCACCCTGCGGCCAAAAAAGAAAAATGAACTTCGGTACGTGGAACGTCCGGACTCTGATGGACAACAGCGGCAGTGAACGCCCCGAACGCAGAACTGCCATCATTGCAAGGGAGCTGGGATGCTTCAACATCGACATAGCAGCCCTTCAGGAGACCCGGAGAGCAGGAGAGGGACAGCTGAAGGAAGAAAAAGGAGGCTACACCTTCTTCTGGAAGGGACTGCCCGAAAAAGACCAAAGAATGCACGGAGTTGGCTTCGCCATCAGAAATGATCTGATGAAACATCTGTCCGAAGCACCCACTGGCATCAACGAACGACTCTCCACCCTCCGAATTGATCTTGCCAAAAACCAACGGGCAACCATCATAAGTGCCTATGCACCAACACTAGATGCTGATGAAGACATCAAGGAGAAATTCTACTGTCAGCTGGACACCGTCCTATCGGGGATACCTAAGGAGGACAAAATCATCCTCCTGGGGGACTTTAATGCAAGAGTCGGGCGAGACTTCGACCTGTGGCCAGGGACCATCGGAAAAGACGGGGTTGGAAACAGCAACTCAAATGGCATCCTGCTTCTCACCAAATGTGCGGAGCACAACCTTGTCATCACCAACACGCTCTTCCGCCAGAAAAACAAGTTCAAGACATCATGGAAGCACCCCCGGTCAAAGCATTGGCACCTCTTAGACTATGTAATCACACGCGCCAGAGACCGCCGTGACGTGCTCCTCACAAGAGCCATGACAGGTGCTGACGACTGCTGGACTGACCACAGGCTAATTCGATCCTCGATGGCTATCAAGATCGCTCCCAAGCGCAGACTCCAAGGAAGGAAGACAAGGCGCAAAATGAACACCCAAGCCCTTCAGGAGCCCTCCAGACGAGCCCATCTCCAAACAGCACTCAAGAACCATCTACCCACAGTACACCCCGAAAATGTTGAGGAACATTGGAACAAACTGAAGACCTCCATCATCCAAGCCTGCGAAGAAACTATTGGATACCAAGCCAAGAAACATCAAGACTGGTTTGATGAAAATGACATCGAGATCCAACAGCTAATTGACAAGAAAAGGAAAGCCTTCCAAGCATGGCAGAGAGACATCAACTGTGCTGCTAAGAAAAAGATCTATGCCAGTGCAAAAGCTGAGATCCAAAGAAGGACAAGAGAGCTCAAGAACATCTGGTGGACAAAGAAGGCCGAAGAAATCCAACACCTGGCAGATACCCATAATGCTCAAGGATTTTTCAAAGCCACAAAGGTCATCTACGGACCAAGAAACCATGGCATACAGCCTCTACGCTCATCAGATGGAACCAAACTCCTGAAGGACCAAAACTCAATTGCACTACGTTGGAAAGAACACTACCAAAGCCTCCTGAACCGCAGCTCCAATGTGGCCGAAGAGGTCCTCTCACAAATCCCACAACAACAAACCAGGGATGAGCTTGCAGCACTGCCCAGTTTGGAAGAAGTCAGCAATGCCATCAGCCAACAGAAGAATAACAAAGCCAGTGGACCAGACGGGATCCCTGCTGAAATCTTTAAAGAGGGAGGACCTGAGCTGACACACCAACTCCACCAGCTCATAGAAAAGTGTGGGTGACCGAGAAAATCCCAGCAGACTTCAAGGATGCCACCATCATCACCCTCTTCAAAAAAGGGGAAAGAACAGACTGCGGAAACTATCGAGGTATCTCCCTTCTAACCTCTGCTGGGAAAATCCTCGCAAGAATCCTTGCAAACCGCCTTCTGCCCCTCTCAGAAGACACCCTCCCAGAATCCCAGAACGGCTTCCGCCCCTCCAGAGGAACCGTGGACATAATCTTCACTGCACGACAGCTCCAAGAAAAATGCAGGAACAAAATCAACCTCTGTACATGGCATTCATTGACCTTGCAAAGGAATTTGACACAGTGAATCGCAGCGCTCTCTGGACCATCCTCCAAAAAATCGGGTGCCCAAGCAAATTTGTGAACATCCTGCGGCTCCTCCATGATGACATGATGGCAACAGTCTTGGACAGCAGTGGCTCCCAAAGTGACCCATTTAAAGTGGAATCCGGTGTCAAACAGGGATGTGTTATTGCCCCAACTCTATTCTCCATCTTCATCGCTATGATACTTCACCTTGTTGATGGGGAGCTTCCCACCGGAGTGGAAATAATCTATCGGACAGATGGCAAGCTATTCAACCTCAGCAGACTGAAAGCCAAAACCAAGGTTACAACAACATCTGTTATAGAACTCCAGTATGCTGATGACAATGTCGTCTGTGCGCATTCAGAAGAAGATCTACAAGCCACTCTAAACACCTTTGCAGAAGCATACGAGAAGCTCGGCCTGTCATTGAACATCGAGAAAACCAAAGTGCTGTTCCAGCAGACACCAGCCAACCCCTCTCCAATGCCAGCAATACAGCTTAATGGTGTAACATTAGAAAAATGTTGGTCATTTCCGCTACCTTGGCAGCCACCTCTCCACCAAAGTCAACATCGACACCGAAATACAACACCGCCTGAGCTCTGCGAGTGCAGCATTTTTCCAAATGAAGCAGAGAGTGTTTGAGGACCGGGACATCCGTAGGGAGACCAGGGTGCTTGTTTATAAAGCGATTGTCCTCCCAACCCTGCTATATGCCTGCAAGACATGGACTGTCTACAGCCGTCACATGCAACTCCTGTAACGTTCCATCAGCTGCCTCCGAAAATCCTGCAAATCTCTTGGGAAGACAGCGGACAAATGTCAGTGTGCTGGAAGAAGCAAAGACCACCAGCATTGAAGCGATGGTCCTCCAACATCAACTGGACTGGCCACGTTGTTCGGATGCCTGACCACCATCTCCCAAAGCAGTTGCTCTACTCCGAACTCAAGAACGGAAAATGGAATGTTGGTGGGAAGGAAAAGAGATTTAAAGATGCGCTCAAAGCCAACCTTAAAAACTCTGGCATAGACACTGAGAACTGGGAAGCCCTGGCCCTTGACCGCTCCAGCTGGAGGTCAGCTGTGACCAGCAGTGCTGCAGAATTTGAGGAGGCACGAGTGGAGGGTGAAAGAGTGAAACGTGCCAGGAGGAAGGCGCGTCAAGCCAACCCCAACCGGGACCACCTTCCACCTGGAAACCAATGCCCTCACTGCGGAAGAAGATGCAGAGCAAGAATAGGGCTCCACAGCCACATACGGACCCACAAGGAAATCCATAATGGAAGACCATCTTACTCGTCCAACGAGGGATCGCCTAAGTAAGTAAGTAAGTATCTGCTTTGATAATCTGGATATGGCAGTGTAGATCCAGCCTGAATTATATGGCAGTGTAGATCCAGCCAAACTTATACATCACTCATACCTCAACCCTGTAGTCCTTAATATATTTAAAAGTTATAGTTACACTGCTAAAGTAATCACATTAACTCTTGGTGAATTATAACTGTGGTTTAACTTAGTTATATATTTGCAAATGGATTTAATTACAACTAGACATTAACTATTTGTTTATTTAATATATATGCTGCCTCTCTCCCAATATGAAATCTAATGTGATCTGCACTATATGTATATCTAAAGGTAATGATTCCCATCTCCTAACAAACAATATTCGGATTACCCTTAGTAGCATAAGTCATATTAATGAGATATCCATTATAATTTTCCCTTTTATTACTTTGAATGTCTTTGCTTCAGAAGTTTATGATCATTCATGAAGTAGGTGTTATATTTCTGAGACAATACTGCCTAGCCCAAGGCAGTGGTGGTAACTGAAACAAAGCAGCCTTGCACACAATACACATTGATGCAGTAATTATCCAGACACCATTGATCGGCAAGCCTTTAACAACTTTAACCTTTATGCTCCGAAACTCAGCTGCTGTAAGAGAAAATGGCAGTGCTGAGAGTGGATTGCAACTAGTGTAGCCCAAGGTCACATACACCAATTGTTCTCTAAAAATAGCAAACTTTCACTGCCAAGAAAGGAGGACTGGAAAATATGGAGCCATGGAGATCCAGGAAGCAGAAAGGAGCCGTATCCTTCAGAGGCACTGGGCTAACAACTACCAGAGTTAACTGAAAGACTATCATCCATTTCACATCCAAAATTTCTCAGTCCAACCATGTCTAAAGCCAATAACTTCTCTCTTCTATTTCTAATCCTTGCTTTTCCATAAAAGTTATCTCATGACACCATAAAAAGTCTTTTTTTAAGTTGAACTACCATATTTGCTTATAATGAACAGTGAAACTTGTTTATATTTGTAGTGAAGATGGCTGGAAATAATTATTTTCCTTTTTGTCCCCCTTTTTTGGTCTATAATTGGTCTATAATTTCATAAATCCTCTAAACATCATCATCATCATCATCTTTATTTATATCCTGCCACCATCTCCCCAAAGAGACTTGGGGCAGCTTAGAAGACACTCCAGGGTGCACATATAACATACAACAGGTAAAAACAGTACAAAAGTATAACATAAGTCACATAAAGTTGTAACAACCTGTATCAACACGAGTAGCATAAAATCAAAATAATACAATATTAAAACAACAGTAGATAAAACTAACTGCCATTATGGTGTCTGTCTTTTGGGAGATTCAGCCTACTCAAGGTCAAAGGCCTGTCTGAAGATCCATGTTTTCAGGTTGGAACTGAAGGGTTGGAACTGAAGGACTGAAGGGTGGGGGCTAATCTATTCTCTTTTGGGACAGTATTCCAGAGCCGAGGGGCTACCACAGATAAGGCCCTCTCTCTCATCCCCAGCAACCAGGCTTGAGACAGTGGTGGACAGGAGGGGCTTCCCTGTTGATCTCAGAGCACCGGCTCATAGAAAGAGATGCGGTCATGAAGATAGGTTGGATTCAAAGCATATAGAACTTGTGGTATCCACATTAGATTATGATATCCACATTAGATTATGACCTTGGGAATCTGCTAAAAGCTACCCATGATAGAAGACAGACTTACTGTAACAGACAAATAAACATATTTAACTACTTAATACCAAACATTTCAGCCAAAATTAAACACTTTCCAAGGCACGTAACTTATATAATATCAGAAAAGTAGTGAGTATAAGGGGGGGGGGGGGGAGAAGAGACAGAGGTATGTGTACCAAGGGATGAACATAAAGAAAGTGTATGTGAAAATAATATATATATATATTGTATATGTTTATATTGTTGATACAACAAGAGTTCTATTTACAACTTGGCAGTTACTGTATATACTTCTGTAGAAGTCAACCTCATGAATAAGTCAAGGGCAAGTTTTGGTGCCAAAATTATGGGTCTTGATATGACTCATGGATAAGTTGAGGGCCATTCATAAGGGTGAAAATACCAGAAGGTCAGCCACCTCTGGCTGCCACTGCCTTCATTTTCCTGTCCAGACGAAAACAAAAAACAAAACAGAAATTAAATGGAAGTGGAGAGAGTAGAAGAAAGTCCTTCTTTTAGGCTGGCACAGGACAGACCAAACTCTTGCCTTTCACCACTTGACTCAAAGTAGGATATGCTTCCTTTTTTTTTCCTTTTCTTTTTTTTTTTCATAAGAGCAAAGGTACAGTGCTTATATTCGCCTGCTGGATAAATTGATCCAGATGTTTTTGGATTAATTTTGTAACTAAAATTTCTAGACTTATGCATGAGTGTATACAGTATTTTAAATATATACCATTCTGATCAGTGCTACTTGAGAAAGAAGTAACTTTAACCATCATTCATTTTCATCATGTGACACCAGAATTTGCATCTCATATAGCAGAGCCAATGACCAAGAAGGCAGGACAAGCAAAGTTTTATTATTAATTTAGCACAGCAATCTTTGCCCTACTGAGGCACCTCTATTTTTAGTTTAGGAGGAAATAAGAAAGGTTTTCAACACGCAGGCCAAGATAATAACACTTACAAAGTTATCTGTGGAATTTTTGCATTGTACCTATGACACTATCAAATTTATTGGAAAGAGTTTATCAGTTAAATGTCAGCAGCTGTGTGCCTCTAAATGGAACATACTTCAGCTCCTGGGCAATGGCAGCGATCTGTTCCACCCTGTCCTGGTGAGCAGCCAAGTCGCTCTCAAAGGCCTCATGTTTCCTCAACAAAGCACGGATCTCAGTCAGAGAAGCCGCTTCATAATCCTTTTGCTGCAGAATCTGCTCTCTCCCTGGCAGAAAGAAAATTCATTTAGATTTCTTGGGAGGATGGCTACTCATCAAAGCGTCAGATACACCACATTCAAATCTCAAGAATATTTTAATATAAATTTCAAATCATGGCAGCATGATGCTACTATATAAAAGTGGTTCTTAACCTGTGGGCCGCGAGGATAAAAATCTGGTCTGCGAGCCTCTTTCCCCTTTATTTTATTTTATTTTATTTTATTTTATTTCTGCTCCTTTCATGCTGCCTGCCACGCCTTCCCTGTTGCTGACCATGGCATATGTTATGTATCAAAAACTAGAGCTGATGTGATCTATCCAATGCAATTTTCTGAATCAGCACCCCAAACCAAATCTAAAGTTGACCAAAAACTGATTTGTAATCCTTTTTGAACGAATGTTGGAGAATGGTCCCTGATCAAAGTGGTCCCTAGTCAAAAAAAGGTTGGGAACTACTGCTACACAAGTTTCACTGGATTCAACAGATTGGATATAGGTAACTATGGTCCTCCTAATGTTCTTGAATGGCAACATCCCTCACTATTAGCTATACTTATCAAGGCTGATGGGAACAGTAAGCTAAAAGATCTAGAGAACCACAATTGCTCTTCTATATGCTACATTGCATTACTGAATTATTATTTATGCTTGTCATAACTCATTGTCTGAAGTTGGAGGATTCAGTTGGAGAAGAGGTGGCAGATTGCCATGAATCTGCAGCTTCTGCTATTTATGCTCTCATTAAAGAACCTAGAGTTGAAGCAGAAGAGGGTCCTATTTCCCAACAGAAGTATTCAGATGCTGAGGACCCCTTGCCATTATTCATTAAGCGACGAAGAGGCAAAGAGTGTGATACTTCCAACAATTATTTTATAGGAATCACTGTCTTAATTAGGCACCTGGAATCTGGAAACAGTTTACTAAAAATCTCCCTGGCAGCTTTGATATTTTCAAACCTCACATGTGACCACTTTGTATCTCCTTGTGGAGAGAACAAAAAGGGCATAAATGAACATAATAATAATAATAATAATAATAATAATAATAATAATAATAACTAGTAGTACTCTTCTGCATTTATGTTTTCCTGACCTTGAACTAGCTACGATTTGCAACTTTGCTAAACTTCTTGCAGGCTTTGTTTATATGGACTACTGGCTGAATGACTGAATGACTTCTAGACTGGCTGATTTATTATTTATTTATTTACTCTATTTGTATCTCACCTTTCTCTACCCCAAAGGGGACTCAAGGTGGCTTTACATGTGTCAATTATTCAATGCCTTTGGACAACAAACAGCTAAAATACACATAAGTGAAAAAAAATTAAATGCACATTAAAACATATAAAACAATGCTTTCACTATTAAAATCACACCATCAATCAATTTAGTAGCTTATTATTTTTTAAAGTTCAAAACGGTTCCTTTATTAGCTTTTTATAAAATCAGGACAGGGGATAAGCCACAGTGATACTCTTGGAGCCTCAGCTTGTGTCAAGACACCTATGGCTAGAGATACAGGGAAGTTTTTAAAGGCACAGAAGGGTGCAGATGCTATCATCCTTGCTCATCAAAACATCCCCGGGCTTGGACCCTAGAAGACCTTGAACCATTACATCACTACTAGTGAACTATCAAGTTGAACACAGCCTATATCACCACGTTTAATAGTCCCATAGAGGCTGCATACACCTCTTATCTGTGTGCGTAGGAATGCAAGATGAAGGAGGATCATTTGGCATGTTTATGTGACTACTAGTGATCTGTATGCTTCTGAATATGTCACCAGTCATACAAGCCAAATATACACACAATGTGAACAATATGAGATGATTATATCTTCTTGATGTCATTGACTTGCAAAAATAGGCATTTTTTTGCTGATTCTTACAATGATCCTCCTTCTCTAGGCCTGCATTTAATGAGCAGAGGAAGGTAAAACTGAAAAATTGAATAAAGGATAATACAATACTATTCTCTTAGGGAAAGTGGCAGTAAGTACAGACTCCAGATTTTTTAAGCCGAGCTATATAGGGTTGATTTTAGGTGATTCTAAAATATTATAAGTTAAGGAAATTTAAAGCAGTTCCCACAAACCTATACCATTTTCTGCTCCAAAATTACTGCACACCTTTCAGTTACTCATTACAATCCCCAACCACTTCTTTTTGTTTAAAAGTACATACTAATTTAAACTGAAAAATTCCATAAAATCATTCATAATGGGATGAGGGATGATTGCATACATATTGCCCCTTACAACAGCTTACCATATGCCCATGTCTCATGCGAAGATGCTTTTTGTCGAAATTTAGCAGCCAGATGTTCAAGTCGTTCAAGCCTTCTTATTTCATTCAGCAGCCATTCCTCATAGCCCTTCTCTGCTTGTTCAAGTCTTTGCCAAGCACTGGCAATATCCTATGAAATGTTGGAGATAAGCATCCAGGGTTTTATATACAGTGAAACTAGTGTTCCTTGGCTTCACACCTAGTGAAACGACTGTTACATTATATTAGGGCAGACTATAGTTCCACTACTGAGAAAGCTTTTGCCTGAAAGGGCAAGCGCTATATACAAGAAAAGAAACATCTGAAATGCCAGAATAAAGTCATGAAAACCACACACACAAAAAGGAAAAAAAGGGAGGGAGAGAGATGTTATACAAGTAACATTTAAAGCCAAGTGGAAGAGAATTGAAAATGACTATACTGTCCTGGAACCATCAATTAGGTGTTGGGAAGTTGGGGAGAAATCCTGGCAGTTTCCAGTCTGCTAGGAAAACAAACTGATGCTAATAATACCATAAATGAAGAGCTCTATTATTCCGCAACTAGTAACAACAATTTAAAATGCTTATGGTTTTCAGGTAGAAAGGTACATATACAAATTAAAGGCAGACAACCTACACAAAGAGCAAAGGCCAAGACAAAATTCAGAGTGTATCGTATTATTCAGCAAAATATGAAGATGAAACGGTAAAGGTTTCCCCTTGACATTATGCCTAGTCGATTCCAACTTGGGGGGGGGGGGAGTGCTTATCTCCATTTATAAGCTGAAGAGCCAGCATTGTCCATAGACTCCTCCTAGGTCATGTGGCCAGCATGACTGCATGGAGCACAGTTACCTTCCTGCCAGAGTGGTGCCTATTAATTTACACACATTTGCATGTTTTGAACTGCTAGGTTGACAGAAGCTGGGGCTATCAATAAGAGCTCACCCCGTTCCGTGGATTCAAACCGCTGACCTTCTGGTCAACAAGTTCATCAACTCAACAGTTTAACCCACGGCACCACCGTGGCCCCTTAAAACTGGCAGGAGGCATCCAGTGGCCTCGGACTAAGCGGGAATCAAACCCTGCTCTACAGGGTTCTAGCCTAACACCCAGCTGCTGATGCCACCTAGGCTCTCCTGAAGATGACAAACATTAATAAATGTTTATTAATAAATGCAACTAATTAAGAAATAAAGTGAAGCGAAGTAAAGTGAATAAATGAACTGCTGCAAATCTATTTAGACTATATTATATATCTGTATTTCCCTTCATTCCACTTAATGATGGGAATTTAATTCAAAATTGTTTAGCATTGATGGGATTAAATCTGAATAGGTTTTTTGCAGTCTCCCAAGTTTGATGCACCATTCCAGAACCCAAAAGGAAGATGCATAGGAACCGCTACTTACCGAAACCATTTTCCCTTCGGATGGCATAAAAGCTGGTCTGTTGCTGATCCTCAATTTTGTCTGCAATGTATTAAAATTGATCTCTAGCTGGCATTTTTCTTGGACTTTGGGAGGCTTGTGTTTTCGACGATAATCTCTGAAGTCCTCTAACTTCTTCTGCATAGTTGCCATAGTCTTCTCTGGGGTCCTGTTTTCAAGCCAAGGAGTTGTACGGCGAATCCATTCTAAAAGCTGTGTTGTGCATATGTGAAATCACAGAAAAGGCAGCTAAGACAAAAAAGTATACAAAGGATCTCGAATTTATATGAAATATTTTGATTTTGTAGTTTTGACATTTTGTGGAAAAAGAGTTGGATCTAGACCTGTCATCAGTGGAAGAAAGAGAACAGCCATTTTTGTTTATTTTTTTCTTCCCTAAACATCCCTGGCCTCCATGAAAGGTTGATCTTGAGGTTCATTCAGAATGACATGGAAAGTGACAATGGAAGCTGCAACTGGAAGAAGGAACTAGCAAAAACCATCCCCTGTCTTCTTCAACAAGGAGCGCCCCATTCCTTGAACAGGGGGGGAAAGCACATTTGGTTCCAAAGCAAATCCAAAAAGGGTCTATTCATTGGAATGATTATGCAGTGAGTGAAATGCATACACAGTTCAGCATGAAGTAATGCTTAAACAAATTTGCACTTTGATCCAAATAATCCTTTCTTTACAGCACAAAAAAGAGTATGATTATAGGATGTGCTACATTCAACAATCATCCCTACTTTGGTAATATAAACACATATATGCAAATTCCTGCTGGTCTTCCACAAGTAGGTGGGATTCTGCAGAGGTGGGGTGAGTTTTTAAAGCTATTTAAAATGTATTTATTATGTTTTAATCTATTTTTACCTCAATCCACACTGTAGTATTTGTTTTTTAATCTTTGCATTGCACTTTTATAACTTTGACTGAAGTGTGGGATTGTTAGCCACCTTGAATTCCCACAGGGTATAAATAAGTCAGGATAAAAATAAATTAAATAATCACAAAATAATAATCTTGAACAAGATGGACTCAATTTGAAATTGCTATATCTCTGCAACAACAAACCATATATATTGCCAAAGTGGGGGCAATTGTTGGACTGAAGGATGGCACTGCAAGGAGACAATGTAACACAATGTGTGTGTATTCACCATCACTAAAGAACAGAATGTGCATGGCTTTGGTACTTACAGCTGCCATTTACACAAGGATTTTCTAGTTATGACTAACTAAAGAGCATTAGCATTGAGTTATCATTGTCAGAAACCTCATAATTAAGTAAGAAACATACGCAGTTTTACTGATATTACTTTCCAACAGCTGCAAAATTTTCCTCTCTGTTTGTCTGAAGGAGGAATCTCTTTGTAACCTGAATTTGCAATTTATTACAACCCAAACACCAACTGTTTTATGAGTGACTAAAATCTAAAGTTTGGTAGCAAGTATCAGGTTGCAGCCAGGCAAAACAAACATAAGAAATCTTTTGCATTTAAAAATACATAGATCAGTGGTTCTCAACCTGTGGATCCCCAGATGTTTTGGCCTTCAACTCCCAGAAATCCTAACAGCTGGTAAACTGGCCGAGATTTCTGGGAGTTGTAGGCCAAAACACCTGGGGACACACAGGTTGAGAACCAATGACATATATTTTACATTGCTAGACAAAAAAAAAAGCAACAAATTTACTTCCAATTCAAACAAAGATCATGTCAAATGCAATGGAGATGTTCTCTTTTCCACTTAATTACCATATCTGAATAGAAAGATACTTTACTGGAAACAACTGCTTTGCACAAATGTTGCTTTGCTGTTATGTGGTTGCATACTGAAATGCACCTGATTTATTATCAAAATAACTACTTCACAATTGTGTCAGGATTTTTTTACCTCACTTGCTAGTCTTTCATACTCTTCCATCAACTTTTCATTTTCTTGGTTCACAGCAAGTACCTTACAAATCCGATTAGCTGCTGTTTCCGCCTGCAAAATACAGAGCATAAAAACCAAAACAAAAATAAGAATGACCATGCATTGCTTATGACAAAGGAAGTTTATAGGCATGCCCACTGAAGTGGTTTTTGCTTATAAGGTACAGGGGCATTCATTCAAGCTAACTAATTTCCCCAGGCCCCCAAAAGCCAACAGATATTCCCCTAATGACCTGTGCTGTTAGGCTGTGTGAACAACGATGTGGGTTTTCCACACGAGACCACACTGTAATGTATCGCTTTTTAATATTAGAAGGATTGCTTTCTGCATTCCCAGTGAACACACAATCTTTGTGTGAGCACCACATAAAACGACAGCATGACCAAAGTCTTTCACTAGAGTTTGACAATATTTCCAAGCAGATTGTACTCAGTCACACAGATCCAAGAAAGAAAATGCTTTTAATGAAAATTTGCATCATCTTTCTTGCATGAATTCAAAAGATGACATACAGATGGATTTTTGCCATGCAGACGTCTAAATAAATGTTTGCAGTGATAAATCCATTTTCTAACTCCATTTAATTGAAAGTGCTGTGTGGACTATTAATCTTTCTAATGCTCAGACTGTTAAATATTAAAATTCTATCAAAGGCATGAGCTAGTGTTCCGAAAAGGGGGAAATGCAATGCTTTGTTAAGCTGTCGAAGGCTTTCGTGGCTGGAATCGCTAGGTTGCTTTTGAGTTTTCTGGGCTGTATGGCCATGTTCCAGAAGCATTCTCCCCTGATGTTTCACCCACATCTATGGCAGGCATCCCCTTAACTTTTGAGGATACCTGCCATAGATGTGGGCGAAACGTCAGGAGAGAATGCTTCTGGAATATGGCCATACAACCCAAAAAACTCACAGCAACCCTTTGTTAGGCTGTTGATACAAAGATCCCCCTGCCCCTGTTTAAGTATATATTCATGCACAACAATCTTTAGTGTGAAAAGCTATTTCATCAAAACATTTATGAGATGATGGTAACCTGGAAGGGAATAGGCACAATGATAAAAAATGACTGTGGTTTTGCCAGTGTAAGCAATCACTTGGAAGTCGTCAATTGTGGCTGTATATCTAAGCATAAAAATATATACACAGATATATGTACAACTTGTCAATAAGAAAAGATTATAAGAGGCCACAGTCATTCAAGGCTGCTTCAGCTATTATTTCTTGCTTATAAGATGCATTAGGTAAACAATTCTAACTATTGAATAAATCATGGAAATATTTTCCATGTTTGCATGAGGAAAAAAGAAAGGATATAGGAACTAATATAAAGGAATCAACAAAGCAATGAAATATTGTCACAAAGACACTTATTTACATATGAAGTGGTTAGCTACCAAGGCTGCAGTATAAGTGCGGGTTGCACTGAACATCTAGGAGCTTATCCCACTCAAAGCATAGGAATTCCACTTTCACCCTAAACCCCTTTGACTGTCTTTTCTAAGTCTAGAAACAAAATATGAATTGCAAGGGCACAACTGAATTAGTCCATATCATCAAATACATTAAATGTAATGTGATACTATTCTGTTCAAATGTAATACTATAGGTTTTCTCTTTTGTATTTATTGAACTGATTTTTAAAAGGAAAAGTTAGGGAAAACATGGGCATGTAGGATGTACGGATCATTATCACCAATTAGATCACTATTCATTTGATGAATTGCTTGCTGTCTGTAAGAGCTATTTTGGGTTTCATCTCTGCCAATGGTGATGTAGATGACATTCTCAGGATGGCGTGTGAACTCAAAGATGATGATAACTCAAAGTAACTTCAATTATGCTACCATCTGGACACTGTCTGAGTAATTATCACCCAGAAAAACTCAGAAAATAATGTTTGAGACAAACAAAAAGAGAAACCAAAGGATAATATAAAAATAGATGTCAACTCAATACATATATCATGCAAGAGGCATATTAGGGAATGAGAACCTGGGTGAAGCTATTTTACGTAGCTCGATACTTTTTACAGATGTTTTTCCTCGTCTATATTTTTCCAGAGGCAATTTGACCAATCTTGGATGATCTACACAACACTGAGATATTATAGCATCACTCCTCAATCATAGTTGACTTCTTGATGATTATATCTCCCCATAGGAAGATGTCAGAATATTGCCAACCTCAAGGGATGGTTTTCTCTCAGTCCTACCATCGTCACAAGCCTGCCTGTGGAGGTCACAAGAGAGAACCTTCTCAGTGACTTCCTCTGGGATGTGGAATTCCCTTTCATGGTAAGCTAGGCTGGCCCCAGCTCTGACATCTGTCCATTATATGGTTACAAGTGAACTTTTTATTTTTAACTTTCTATCAAAATATATTTTTAAAAATTTTGCATTTTTTAAAATATATAATGGCACTTTTAATATGAAAACATGTTCAATTGTACTTTTAACTCTTTTATTTTCATCAGATTTGTATGTATTTTAGTCTTATTGTAAACTGCTTTGTTTCTCCTGTCGGGAGAAAGAGAAGGACAGCAAAAGCAAGAATTAAGGAAAGCTTAGTATTGGTGTAGTGTCACAGCTCTGATGGACTGGATGACAGCCAACAAGCTGAGGCTTAATTCAGACAAGACAGAGGTCCTCCTAGTCAGTCGCAAGGCTGATCAGGGTGTAGGGTAGCAACTGGTTCTCGACGGGGTTACACTCCCTCTGAGCACACAGGCCCACAGTCTGGGGGTCCTCCTGGATTCATAACTGATACTTGAAACTCAGGTGTCGGAAGTGGCTGGGAGGGCATTTGCACAGTTAAAATTTGTGCGCCAGTTGCAACCTTACCTAGAGAAGCCTGACTTGTATTTATTTATTTACTTACAACATTTTTATCCTGCTCTTTTCAGCCTGAAGGTGACTCAAGGTGGCATACAGATTGACAACAATTAGATGCCATAAACATACATACATACATATAATTAAAAACATTGAATATCACATAATAAAATCCATATAAAACTAATTAAAACTATAATAATTAATGTTGTACATGGTGATCCATGCCTTAGTTATATCCAGAATGGACTGGTGTAATGCACTCTATGTGGGGTTGCCTTTGAAGATGGCTCAGAAACTGCAGAAGCTATAGGGAGCATGGTCATGTGATGATGCCGACCATTGTTATTCAGTGCTTTAGTTCTTGTTTGAAGAAACCCAATGACCCACAGGTATGACTGTGTTTTAAAAAAAATATTTTTTTATTTTATTGATTGACGTTGTTCATTGTTTGTATTCAGTCAAATTGTGTATTGTTTTGATGATATGTAATTCTATTTTATGTGTGGCATCTTGAGTGCTTTGTTTGCTGCCCTGAGTTCCTTTGGGGAGATAGTGGCAGGGTACAAATAAATTATTATTATTATTATTATTTGGCAATCCTTAGCCTCACTAATTTTACTTGTCCATTTAAACTCAAGTGGACCTTGCTTCATTCAGGCCATTCAGCTTGAACGCCATGTAAGTAAGACCACACTATTCTAAGTACCTCCTAGTGGCTACATTGATTTTAGAAACACTGGGTTGCAACAAGAAAGCTGTCTCCTAGGGTAACTTATTTTCCATTAGCATGTATCTCAGTAGAAACACACATTTCTCAGCCATACAGAAAATTACTCAATTTAAAAAAAAAAAATCAGTACTGAATTTGTGTAAATCTAATCAGCATTAGAATTGGTGGGATTTTTTTTTACTTTTGTGCAAACTGCCTTTTTTGACATCAAATCATATTGTTTTGAAAGGAAAGAAAATTGTGACAGAATTCATAAAAGTGTTTAAAATGTTGTATGTAATTCTGGTTCTTTAAAATAAAGATGGCTATAGTGTTTCAGAATCAAAGGTAGATTCTCATAACTACTTGTCATTGATAATTAACAAAGAAAGAAACTTCAGGTTAAATAATAAACCCAGTGGAAATCCACAACACGTAAAAACAAACATGGATGGAAGTAATAAATAAATAAATTATAACTACCTGCTCTGCTCCAGCAAAAGCATGGTAAAAGCAGGAAACATAAGTCATGATAGCTCTCTCATCAGGCTTGGGGGTATTCACAATATCTACAAAAAAGGGGAAATAATGCATATAACTTGATTTCATTGGAGCATTTCCAAATTCAAGACATGTACTGCATCTACATCAGCCTTCCCCAACCTGGAGCCTTTCCGATGTGTTGGATTATCATTCAATTCCCCTTAACTAGCTGGAATTGGGTAGTAGCCAGCACTGTTGTATGTGTTCTTCTTTCTAAGTAGCCAACCTCACTGATTAAATAAACTAATCAAAATCTAAGTGTTGTGAAACCCAGGCAGAAATTGCCACAAAAATAAAAGGATCAAGGTGAAAGAGGAAGAGTGTAGACATAAGAAAGAAAGGCCTGTCTGCTTTAGCAATTGTTCCAGATAACTGTGGGAAGCTCAAAAGCAAGATACAAATTCACTACCGCTTTCTTGCTTCTGTTCCTGAGCAAATGGCTTAATAGGACTTAGGGTGAGTCAGAGCCAAGTCTAGGGGTATACGAAGGTGGGGTGGGAGGGCGGCAGCGGTGGCTAATAAATTGTCAGCAGCACTGCAACCCCCGTATACCCCTAGACTTGGATTTGGCCCACTCACATTTCAGTGGCCCTTGTCCAAAGCCTACCAACCTTCTCACAAGTGAATTTAGCATCACATTAGTTTGGCCCTAATAAGTAACTTCTAAGTTGTCTTAATTCCATCCCAAGCTGCCTTTCCAGTTACATCAAAGTCATGATGACACATGACAGGCATCACAAAGTAGCTCCACCCTTCCCAGAGTAGCTACCCCTTGAGATATGTATAGAAGCATATTTGATACATAGAAAAACTGACATCACAATGTTTGATAAAGAATTACATGAAAAGGTGCTTTTGTGAAAACATTTGAAAAGAAAGGATGTAGAAGGATTATTTTAGATCCAGCTTAACACTGATTAAATACACATCAGCTCCCACCTTCTGCATCCAACATCTTTGGGATATCTAGATATTTTTCTGCAACGTCCATAGCAAGGTTTATATTTCGCAAAGGATCATCCTGCAGGGGGAAAAAAGATATTACAGTTAATCACAAACATAAATGTTTGGCAATCTCATTTAGATTGCCAAAATAAACACTGTATTTCTTCTCTTCTAAGATGAACTTTTTCTCCCACATAAACACCTCTGAAAACAGAATATATCTTAGAAATTCAGGTGCTCTCTCTCTCTCTCTATACATATATATGTATGTATGTATGTATGTATGTATGTATGTATGTATGTATATATGTATGTATACACATACAAAGCCTCTTTCTGTTTGTGGTACTGAAATCAGTGTGCGTCCTACAATCAATGCTGTCTTAGAATCAAAGAAATACAGTGTAATAGTGTTACTCAAAAGCACAGAACAGATATTCAAAAGTTTTAGTGAAGAGTGGTAGAGAAGCAAATACTTTCTACTTAAAACACTTCTCTAATTCTAATTTCAAAATGAAACTCAAATAATATATGCATCACACTCCCACTTGTATCTACTCAGAAGTACTCAATGCATTTTAATCCTAGAGCTATTTTTTGTAGAATCACTAATTTCTTGCTCCTTTCTGTTTGCTTAGAAGAAGAAAAACACTTCTTTCAAGACTTAATGTCAAATAAGTACTTACTCTTGTTGTTTCTAGCTCTCTAATAACATTTTTAGAATGGACTGGAAAAACATCACACAGATTAACAATGGAAAAGGACATTTGAGAAGCCATAAAGTCAAAAAGCAATCAGCAAAAGTCCTCGCGGCATCTGTTCTCAGCATGGAAATTAGAATGTTAGTGATCAAAATCAGAGACAGTGTTTTTCAGGAACCAAATTTAGTTGTGCCTCTGTATGCATAGCCTAGCTTGGTAAAATTGATTTACAGGATTATCTGTGAAAAGATCTGTGGAAGGGATTTTCTGATAATGCTAGAATACAGCTGTTCTGCAAAGGAACCATGATATTTTGCAAGTGCTTCATAGGGATATATAACAATTATAAGGCAGGCTATTTAGATGAATCACTTGGCTGGCACAGAAGAGAACAGAAGCTGTTCCTTTCAATACTGCAGGCTATAACCTACCTAGCTAAGGACCAATTCAGCAAGTGGGAGAAGCAGCTATTGGCAAATGACTATGCTGTCATGCAAAAAAAAAAAAAAAGACCTTACAATGACAGTGCAAGTACTTGATTAGATGTTCACAAGCAAGCAGCTTCCATAAGCTGGTTTTCTCTGAAATGCTTGTGTGATAGATTCTCAGAAACAGTGTGGTAATGAGTCCACTGGAAGAAAAGATCATGACCTGCCTATTAGTAAAGATATAGGATCCTGGGTGATTGTTTCTCAGTTATCTCACACTTCGATCCTTTTATTTAAACAAGAACATTGTTGCCTATTATAGGCAGTACCCAAGCTACAAACAAGATAGGTTCTGTAGGTTTGTTCTTAAGTTGGATTTGTTTGTAAGTCAGAAGAGGTACATTTTTAAATCTAAGTCTCTTTTCTTGAGACACTCCCATGGTCAGTTTAATTAGAGAAATGTCATTTTTGTAATTATTGTAAAGCTGCCTTGAGATGTTTGTACACCACAGCAAATGTGAAATATAGATTAAATACTAGTTACTATCACACTGAGTCACATTCACAAAAAATATTCACCATGTATTTATAACAAAGGAAAATCACCATGAAGTAGCCTCACTGTATTCAAATTAGCTATCACAGAATATAAATCTCCACTGCATATAACAAGTTATGAAGTGATGGGAAACTAAGTAGGTTGTCATTCAACATCTGGTAGCTTATGAAAACCTCATCTTGCCTCACTGAGTTCAACATTACTATCCTGTATACACTTACTCTTAATGTACTTTTATTGTTTTTTTTTCTCTTGCATGTAGATGAGTAGCCTATGCATTCAGACATATATACATTCGGCAAAAGTATGATAGCTGGGACCCTATGCTGGTTGCGCACCGTGGGTCAGAATTCATGAAGGGAAGATGTGTGCGAGACAGTGCAGCCAGTCATAGATGCAGCTGCAAGAGGGAGGGGGGGTGTGCGGCTTACATGTCCTGCCCTCCCGGAGCCCTGGCTCCTCCACTTTCAGAAAGCAACTGGGGGAAAGCAGAAGAAGAAGGGGAGGGGGGAATCCCATTCCTGCCACTCTGTTCGCACTAGGGCCTTGTAAAAACCTTCCCCACCCGCCAGCACACTTTCCGCTCTTCAAAGAAAGCAGGCCCAGCAGCTGGGAACAGTCCAAGCAGACTTCCCTTCATTTTTTCTGATACGCGTTGCGCAGCCAGCATAGGGTTCATAGAGTCCCAGCTATCATACTTTTGCCATACATTCAAAAAGTCCATACTTACATTTGAAAATCTATCATAGAATCACACTGTAAATTTTGAGTTTGTGGATTGGATTGTTAATAAATGAAACTTCAAGTCATAGCATTGCCTGACAATCTTTCACATACTGAACTGGTGATCAAAATCTAGAAAACTCATATTTTTTCCAGGGTTAAAATGCAATCACAATCATACCAAACCTATTCAAAAAAGGTTTTTAGTTCAGCTCTAATGTGAAAGCAATGAAATGCATGCAGAAAAGAAAAGCAGAAAAGAAAACTGAACCAAGACAACTACACTTGCAAAAGTCACAAAAATAAATCAGTAAAATAGAAAGTCAAAACAAGCAAGCCTCAATTCCATGCAGTATATGTTGCTTCATGCAAGATTAGCACAGATCCGGGGGGGGGGGGGGGATTGTATTTGTGTGTTTTGCCAGACATCATAAAGTTTTAGCCACAACTAAGCTGTCTTAAAATCTGTCAGATGCAAATTTAACCGTCCTCTTTACTTCTGTTAACATCAAGTAGATTTAGCTGCAATAAGTTTTAAGAGGATTACAGCTGAATTAAAGAATTTGGGAACCTGGAGTTCCCAACTTTTGTGGCAGACAAAATGTTAAGAATTAAGTCTCCAGAGAAACCCTCATACCAAGTAAATAGACTGCCACCATTCTGCACGATGCAGGCAGTGCTATCAATCTGTATTTCATGGAGGAAATGAAAAACTAGCTCTTCTTCAGCACTGGGTACAACTTGAGCACTTTTAACGGAGAAACAGAAGATAAATAATAATTGACATAGTCTGGATTTAAAATGCCCAATAATGCAGACTGAACTGCATTAAAGTCAGCGTGGATTTTATATAATACAGTTCAGTCCAGTTCAAACTACATTATATGCGTCTACACTGACCATATAGTTCAACTCAAGCTGTATTATTTGACAGTATAGATCCAGACAAACTTCAGGCATGCATCAGAGGCTGCTTCTACACAGCATTTAATCCAGGACATGGATGTAATAGATCCAGTTTGCTTCAGATTGCCTACACAGACATCCCACAAAAAGCTTCTCCCCACAAACAGCTTCTTACAGCAAAGCAAGAGACAGCAATCAGGCATCTCCATGATAATGCTGTGGTTTCCTTTCCAGGGGGAGTTGCTCAATGAGCTGTGTATCTGGTTACTTAATCTGATTGCTGCAGCATTAGCCCTGTCTACATAAGGTATTCACATTTAGCATTCAGCTTCCTGCTATGCAGTGGTTATACACACATCAGTTTCAGCAGATTTTATGGCTTGATTAAGAATTTCTGGTAAGTTTTTTATCACACTATTTTCGCTGAATTCATGCTGTAACTCACATTGGGAATGTACATTTTGGAGACTCATCAACTATGAGCCAGCTTCAAGGTGGATTTTAGTGCCGAGATAGAATGATGCAACATTTGCTTGAAACTCCAGAGTATCATGCAATTTTGGGATAGTATAGCTGCTATCATTTTTATTTGCACTCATCAGAACAGGGGAGGAAAGGCCCATGTCACTACTATCACTGTTCCCAGTCATTATAGGTGCCTCATTCTGACATCAATACAGGCACTCAGGGGACCAGGAAGAAGGTGGGGGGGGGGGGGGGCTCGACAGTGACAAGGAAGGTGATGTTCTAGTAGGGCTGGTGCAGTGTTGGGCCCCACATTATCTGCTTTGAACTGGATTATATGGGTCTACATTGCCGTATAATCCAGTTCAAAACAGATAATCTGGATGTTATATGGCAGTATAGAAGGGGCCTTGGCCAGCTGGGCCATGTTGACCTCTACCCTGTGCCATGGTTCAGAAAGGTACATGTGGCTGGTCTCAGATTTGCAAACCAAAGTAGATTCCCCCCCCCCCCCCCCCCCCCCCCCCGCCAACAGGAGGTAAAAGGAAGGATGATTTGTTACTAAAGACAACCTGGTTTATTAATAAGTATGCATGCTAATAACACTGCCAAAATCACGGCAAAGCAGCATGCTGTGTCACCCAGACTCATGACCTTAGATAGCTTGGAATAATCAATAAGATCCGGTCGGTGTCTATGGATAAGCGCACAGAGGCCAAGACCGTCTTTCCAGCTTCACAACAAGCAACCAAAAATAAAAACAGAGAGATGTTAATGAAATAATGGTAACATCTGTCATCTTGAAGTCTGAAATCATGCAAAAGCAACCGTATATGATAAGGCATAACAAACTCACATGAAATGAAGGATAATTCCCTTGTTTGTGTGATTTGTTTTGCTAAACCCCATTAAGGGCCAAAGGACTAAATGTATGGATCTAAAATTAATTTCTAAAATTCTACTTCCAGCACATAACCAACATTGCCAGATATTTAAATGTCATTTCATATATATTTTAGGACTGTATCATACAAGACGGATCTCCTTAAACAGTGGGCACTTCTGTTTAGGAAGGAATTAGGATCAATCCTGTCCATAGATTTCTAATGCATAAAGAAGAGACCTTTGTTTGTTTTGTCACGTGTCCATGCAACATGAAGCCACTTTGATAGTAGAAAGACACGGTGCTGGGTAGATTGGCAGGTTAATTTTCCCAATGCAGTTTCTTTAGATTTACATAGCACACACAAGGTAGCTCAGAAAATCATTCTGTTCACATTTGACACCACAGAACCAACTGGTAAATGCTGAACCAACAGTATAAGAATAAAAAGATATTTTAACCAACTGTGCAGATCTCAATTAATTGAACCAAGCAGATATATACCACAACCATTATCGTGTCAAGGAAAAGACTAACTTGGATTTTGAAAGCTGGCATTCTGTAAACATGCTCAACAGAAATACGCATCATTCCCTACAAGGATGACAATGACTGTTCTGCATGATGGGCTTAATCATCCAACATATCTGAAGGGAATAGGTTGAGGAGGGGCTTGCAACTATCAAACTAATATTTGACAGAGGTACAAGGAATATGGCTTCTATTTTCATATCCTCCAACTGTTTTAATTTATTAGCAACAAATCCAAGTAACGTGGTTCCTTCAAAATAAGGCACTGTCTTATATTTATTTTTCCTCAAGAAGACACGCTATGGCTTATTTTCAGAGGATATCTTATTTTTATTAAGTATGGTACAACAATTTACAGCAGATTTACTGGTGTTTGTGGGGGTGAGAGAGACCCACAGTACTGAGTAAAATGACAGCCACAGCTTTACTTCTTCCCCCTGAGGACACACAATACCTAAAGCAGAGCATCCTGCTTCTCATTTCACTAAGGAGACTTTTCCTTTCACTTTCTATGCCTTAGCTTGCAGTGCGCACAGAACGACCGAGACCTGATAGGAGGAGCCAACCTTGTTGATGGGCTGCCCGCACTTCTCCGGTCACCTTTACCACTCCACACTGGTATGCTGCATAGCTACGCCTATCACTATGTCTTTTTTGGAGGGTATGTCTTATTTTCAGGGAAACACCGTAATTTTCTCTTGTCGTACTTTCTCAGTTAATTGCTAAATGTCACAGTTTCTCTCCTCCCACTTCTTCTTTTGTCCTCAGCTTACTAAAATTACTGCAAACTGAGTGCAAAGTAGTTACCAATTAGTTGGGAGAGAAGATCTAGAATTTGAGTCTTAACCCTCTTAATAGATTCAGCAAAAACAACTGGCCTTTAGCTGGTGTGCTTATTTGTAACTTTTGTAATCTTGGCATAGTGATGTTGCTTGATCATATCCTGGTTTTCATCTGGGAAATGTTGGATATGCATACAATGATTACAGAAGTAGGGAAATTTAAATGGAAGAAAACATTTTTATATATAATGTAACAAACTGAAGTGAACAATCTGTTTAAGCCATTGGGTTGTTGTAGGTTTTTTTGGGCTACTATATGGCCATGTTCTAGAGGCATTCTCTCCTGATGTTTCGCCTGCATCTATGGCAAGCATCCTCAGAGGTAGTGGGGTGTTTAAGCCATTACCACAGCTAACACACAGTAGAGTGCATTAAACCAATGTCAAAGACACAGAACCTATAAAGAAAATACATGCAACCACTTGTAAATTAACTATTAGCATCTATTGTGTAAACTTTCTGTTCTGTTCAGTTTTACTTTAGCCCACACTATATACATGTTTTCCTGCTTTTGCAATCAATATTACAAAAACAATGGGAGACTTAAGAGTTTGCCTAGTTAGATATGATACTGTTTACAGCCTTGTTCTTTTAAATCATATGCAACAAGTGGCTTTTGCTATCACTGCCAAGAAAAATCCCAACATCTGTTAATCACCCTCTAGAATCTAGGAGTTTATGGCACAATACTGCTGCTGCATTTCTGGATGCTTTGACACTGAATTTATGCTTGCTTGTGATGCTAATACATTCATAGAACCAAATGTATTCACTCTATACAGACTGAGGTTAGAGAGGAAAGTGACAGAGAAAGCTGTCATGTCTCATCTTCAAATACAAAAGCAATGCAGCTGCCACTCCTTGTTGGCTCCAGCACCTGCTGCTCTAGGAATAATATGATTATATGCAAGCCATCTCCAAGGGGCAACAGAGCTGGCAGGTGAAATATTTATACTGCTAACTTATCTGAGATGGCCTTGCAGGTTTGACTGTCACAGCTATCTGGGAAACATCTGTGGCCAAATGACAATCATGCAAAGGACACACAAAACTATCAAATGAAACAAGTTAAACAGCTAATAAATATGAGATCTGGTATTTGAATTCAAACTATAAATATTATAATTCATAACAAATATGAGTAATTGAGAAATGGACATATATATATATATATATATAGTTAAAGAGAATATTCTACATACAATATGAAAAATTACATACAACATAGCCAAATGATAAGTATATAGCAATACTTATATGGCAAGAAAATACCCAAATCTTTTAAAGTACATGGTATAAATATATGAAAATTACAGAGTTAAGAAGGAGCAATTYAAGTTAAATGGGATACGTAGTCAATCCTCCATATCCACATAGTTTCTCCATGGATCAACTGACCACAACTCTAAAATATATTGGGGGGGGGGGTTCAAGAAGTAAATCTACAGTGATATATAGGCATACGCTGCTGTAGGCTTGTGCCTTTCCATGGATTTTCAGATTCAGAGTTGGTCATCATTTTATATAAAGAACACCATTTTATTATGCCATCTGTATATCATAGGAGTTCAGATCCACAGATTTTGGTATTCATGAGAGGTGCAGTATTGAGTATGTACAGATAATAATATATCTGTACACAGTCAATACTAATACTTATGTAAGTAAACAAATACCAGCGGGGGGGGGGGGGGAAGAATTGTTGTTGTTGATTAAAGAAATTCAAACAAACTCTAAATGACAAACAACATAAAAAGAACACAGAATTGTCAKTGAATGGGTTGTATGCATCCTTTGCAATTGTAGATGAGATGGTTCCACTGATGTAAGAGCTGTTCTATTCCTAAATTGCAAAAACTAAACAGTATCTTATATTACTCCTGAAAAGAAAAGATCAAGCTTAGCTGCAAATTGGCTAGTAATATATCTAGAAATGGTTAGCTTTACCTAGTATGGAAGTTTTGAATGTTCACATTTCGATAAGGAGCAGTTTTCCTCTGACACCACAGCAGCAGCCCTTCTTTGGCAGATGTCTCTGAAAAGATCACAGGGTAAGATTTTTAAACAAAGTAACACAAACTGAAACCAAATTCAAACTGTGTTGATTTTATAGCAGCCAGATAGTAATCGGAGACCTCTGGGAGACAATGCTGATTAGTTCAAAAGTTGCCACAGACACAGTTGTCCTAAGAAATTTTGCTCTGTTTGTATATGGCTGAACGATCATCTTCTGATGACAGTGCTTCTGTTTTTTTCTTGTGAAAACAGTTGATACAATTGAATTTTTCTTTCAACATATAGTGGCTCATTAATATTAACAAAAAGAATGACAAGGAGATATTTCACCATGTCTCCCACAATAGAATAAATATCCATTAGTATTTTTATTGTAATATTTGCTTTCAACTTTCTTAACCTACCATGGACACCTCAACCATTAAAATAATTGAGATGTAATACATATGAGCTGTTCAACAGTGGAATTTTCTGCCTTGGAGTGTGGTGGAAAACTCTTCCTTGGAAACTTTTAAATAGAGACTGGATGACCATCTGTCAGGGATACTCTGATTGTGGTTTTCGTGCATGGAAGGGGATTGGATTAGATGGCCCATGTGGTCTCTTCCAACTCTGTTATTCTATGATGCTATGAATCTATAATTGTTATTTTAGTATGCTGTGTTCCCTCTATTTTATCAGTCTTATACTTGTTTATTTATGCAATGCTTTTGACATGAAATAAATAAAATTTTAATATGAAGTGTCAAACATCATTCCACACCTCCCATGGAAAAATACCTCTGTGATATTCACTTCTTTCGCTAACTTAATCCCTGTGTGTGTGTGTGTTTATTCACAAATACAGGTGTGTGTGTAATTGTGTGTGCATACATACCCACACACACATAATCTCTCAATGCTTTTTAAGATACTATCAACACATCAACCATTCAGCAATACATCCTCATTCTGGTCCTGTTGGTCTGGTAAGACCAATTTTATTTCAACAAAATAGGCAAAGATACAAACACAACTGCCTGTAGACATGCACACAGCCCTGTTACTCTCCCATGTTTGTGATTATGATTGATACTTTGGCCAACCAAGATATTAATCCAATTTCTAACTATGGCTTTATCTTAGTTTGTTCCAAAGTTTTTGGCCCTATTTCCTCGGTTTAGTCAAAGCAGTTTATTACAATTATGAAATACACTTTCATGTGTTCCTACTTCTTGCACAATTTTTTTTAAAAAAAACAGGGGTTGAGTGTATGCTGCCAAAAAGCTTAGCTTTTGTTAAAAGGTCACAGGAATTCTCAGCATTTTCACCTATCTAGAAGTTGTGACAAGAGGTCATACAAATGTAGATGCAATCAGATGATGAATCCTGAGATCTGATTCTTGGCTTATTTTAATCCATTGCAATCAAATTAGAAAATGGGGCATTATCTACAAACCCATAGTATGCCTGTGCTTGTTCTAGACCAGTGGTTCTCAACTTGGAGTTGTAGGCCAAAAACATCTGGGGACCCCAGGTTGAGAACCACTGTTCTAGAGAGTGATTCCCAACCTTTCACCCTCCAGGAGTTTTGGACTTCAGCTCCCACAATGCCTAACAGCTGGCAAAATATCTGGGATTTCTGGGAGTTGAAGTCCAAAACACCTGGAGGACCAAAGGTTGGGAACCACTGTAATAACTTTCTATCATAACACATGTTTGCGGATACAAGTTGAAAACTAACATGGAAGGTTGCTGAAAAGGGGGCTCCAGGGGCTAAATTATACTGGAACTGTAAACATCCTCCTTCAAAGCTGCTTCAAAGCTTAGCAGAACAAAGCCTCCAAGCATCAAACAGGGATCTTAGGAATACAGGCAAAGGCTGTGTCCAGCTTAGAGGCATCTACTTTTACCCCATTCCAAGGTGTCACAGAATCACACAGTGGCATAAACCCTTATAGAATCTCATATCTGTTGTGTCCATTAGCTGGGCTCATCAACTAGCAGACAGGTTGGTCAATGCTTTGATACATACTTATGCAGCCATAAAAGGCAACTGGGTGACCTTGGGCTCTCTCAGTCTCAGAAGAAGGCACATAAACCTCTTCTGAACAAATATTGCTAAGAATAGCTTCGCCTTGTGATAGAGTCACCTTAACTGGAAATGACTTGATAGCACAAAAAATAACAACACAAAATACATAGTACTTTTCATATTTATAAAGCATTTTCTTTTCAGTACTGGACAAAGATACAAGAAAGAAAACATGTCAGCAAACATGATAGACTGAATTCCTTTTTAAAATATATTTATAAGCTGTATGGATTGCTATAATCATGAATATAACATCAGAACTCAATATTGTTGATGAAGCTATAATTTGCTAAAACAACCTGACAACTCAGGTCAATTCATTTTGACATATATTCTTGTGACTCATATTCTTACCTTCCACTGAAATATCTTGAATGGCAAAGCGAAGGATGATAGTCCAGATCATACCCAAGGTCATTTTTATATTTCCATCTACAATTTCTAGGGTAAAACAGAATGGATATTTTATGTTTACTGTGAGCAGAGAAACATATGTGCTATACCTTTAGGTTTGTAGTTTAAATACAATATATGTTTAAATACATTTTTTCAGCAGGCTTATATTTTCATTCTATGACCAGGTTGGAGGTGGGAGCCCGACCTTCAGCAGACCAAAAACAGCTGTGAGTAGTCTGTTAAAAAGCTCCCCCGCCTTCCGCTGGCAGCCAGAATTGAGCACAACCTCCAAAGATGCTGAAGATGGGAAAAGCCTATATCCCTCAATCTATGTACTTTGTCTGTCCTGTCAGTGTAAAACAGCATTGAATGTTTGTCGTATATGTGTTTTGTGATCTGCCCTGAGTCTCCTTCGAGTTTGTTTTGTTTTGTTTTGTTTTTGTCGTGTCAGGAGCGACTTGAGAAACTGCAAGTTGCTTCTGGTGTGAGAGAATTGGCCGTCTGCAAGGACGTTGCCCAGGGGACACCCGGATGATTTGATGTTTTTATCATCCTTGTGGGAGGCTTCTCTCATGCCCCCGCATGAGGAGCTGGAGTTGATATAGAGGGAGCTCATCCGCCTCATCCGCCTCTCCCCAGATTCGAACCTGCGACCTGTCAGTCTTCAGTCCTGCCGGCACAGGGGTTTAACTCACTGCGCCACCAGGGGCTCCTCCCTTCAGGTAAGAAGGGCAAAATATAAATACTGTAAAAAAAGTTTTTGTTGACTATGTCAGCAATCATGCTGCTTATCTTTCTTTGTTTAGAATCAAGCAAAGGCATCTAATCCACCATACCTCTACTGGAAGTCTAATATTTCCATCTTGTTGGAGCCCCATTGGAATTTTGGGTGGGAAGAAAAGTTTTGTTTTGCATGCAGAAGCATGCAAAAATTAAGCATGATAATTTACTAATCAATCAACAGAATTTCAGAAGGTCATATTCCAAGAAAGTGCAGCCATGAAAATAGCCAGAAAAGCCACCGGGGGGGGGGGGGGGGGGGGTGTGCAACCTTTCTAAGAAAATGTGACTACCCAGGGGAAGAGCAGGGAGATCAGGGAAATCATCTTAAAAGATAATGGGAAAATTGGTATCAAAAGCTGTTGTTTTGATTGTAAAGTTTAAGAAGTGTAAATGGCACAGACCAGAATCCTGACAGTACACTGTGCCCATGTTTGGCCTTTCTTCAAGTTTGTACTAAGCAGCAAAAGAAGGCAGATGAAATCTACTGGCTCCTACCAACCTATTTCTCCCACCTGTTATTTCTGGCACAGCTGTGGCTTTTGTGATATTCTTTCTGCCACATCCACCTACTCCAATATAGTTATGTCACTATAGTGTGCCAACGGGATTCCAATCACAATACCTCTGATCAATTATTATTTAATAACTGCATTACTTTAACATACACAATGTTGTTGTTTTTATTACCACAAACCCTTCATTACAACAATCAATAGAATTTGGTCAGAGTGAAGCACTTTTTAAGTCCCAGTGATTTAAAAGGGAGAGATTTAACCCTAAGATTAACTTGTATCAACTATGATTGAATGATACCCTTCACATTTACCTGGAAATAATATCAAACCCATCTATTTTAATATGACATTTCCTTTCAAAGGATGTTTGGATCTAGTGACTAATCAGGCAAGAGTTACATAAAGAAAGTCCATTTTAAAATATTATAAACAAGCCCACTGCCACACCATCATTTTTTATGTTCTGCCTACTCTGCCTTTGTGCTGCTTTTCTATTTGTTGTTTGTTCAGTCTGCATTTTTCTCCACGTCACCAAGTTATTTTTACCTATCTGCTCCCATGCCCTCCCCAATCTTCCTCTACATATTGATTCATTTTTTTCTTTTCACAGCCTTAAACACAGAGAATTGTTTTTAGAGCTATATAGTTTTTAAAGAGCCAAAATGGTGCAATGGCTTGTGTATTGCCTCCGTTGCTGCAACAAGGGTTTGAATTCCCCCTTAACCATGGAAATCCACTGAGTGACCTTGGGCAAGTCATACTACCTTTGGCTGGATCTACACTGCCATATAATCCAGTTCCAGAATGCAGATTAACTGCATTGAACTGGATTTTATTTATTTCTTTATTTCTTTATGACATTTATATGCTGCCCTTCTCACCTCGAAGGGGACTCAGAAAGGCTACAAGTAATATGTAAATACAATATTATTTAATATGTAAATACAATATGAGTCTACACAGCCATATTGTCCAGTTCAATTGGTTAATCTGTATTCTGAAACAGTGTAGATCCAGCCTTAGTCTCAGAGAAGGACAATGCCAAACTTCCTTTAAATAAATCTTGCCAAGAAATATAGAGTTTGCATAAGTCAGAACTGACTTGAGGCATATAACATAATTTTCTTTATTTTTTAGAACCCTCACAACGCTCCTTTTGTGTACATAGTATATTATGCAGGTTTTTACCTGTTTTCACATAGAATTTAATTGGGTAGGAGACAGAGATAAGTATTGATACAATATATTTTGCTTGTTATATAATTCTAATTCTACTTCTGGGATTGATAGATTTTGAAAGAACAGACACCAAAAAGTATTTGCAGTATTTTATATGGATGTATCTTCCTGAAACATGATTCCCTCACCGATGCATGAAACATTAGTATACTATGGATTTGTGAGCTATTTATTATAAATAGCCAATCTATTTATTTTATTTAATATTGAGATGATATGTATGTGTGTGTAGTCACATTTAAAGCCTAATTACATTTTTAAACATTCTAACTACCAGTAGTTATTTAATTGGGTTAGATTTTGTTCAGTATCTTGCTCAAAGCCGTAATTTCTGAAAAGGCAATAAACAAGCAATTATGAGGCTTTTCTATGGGTTTTCTACACATTTCAAATCATCAGCAGCAGGTATTGTGTTGGCTGACAAAATGTAAAAAGGAAAAAGGTAAGAAAAATCAGTCTGATCTGGAATGTCAGCAGTTTAAGAAAATGCAGAAAACGGCATACCCCTTCCAATAGACTCCACCTACACTGCTATATAATGCAGTTTGGAACTGCATTATATGGTCAGTGTAAACTTATACAATGCGGTTCAATGCAATTGGACAGCACTATATGAATCTACACTGACCTCATAATGCAGCTTCAAACTGCATTATATGACAATGTAAATTGAACCTTTGCCCCCTACTGAATTAAGAAGATTCTCGCAGTTTCAGTCCATCATGGCTGAGAACTAAATGTTGCTGTTGATGTCTTCTACATACCTTCTGCACCAATTGAGACCAATTTAACCCCTTTGCTGGCTATGAAATCCAAGGCTTTGTTGACATTTGCAATTTTATGGAAACGCATCTTTCCTCTGTCTGGTTTTGGAAGTCTTTCTCCTGTAGGAAAAAAAATTGTCACCATCAATTGATTTAGTTGACATCTGGGCATGCACACATACTAATGACTAGACAGGTGCTGCCTATATGCTTCCTAAACCTAAACTACAGCTTCTTAAGGTTTTTATCAATTGATGCAAAAGAGTGAGGGGGTTTGAGCCTACCGGATCTCAGGCATTCCTATGAAGCAGCAGGGTTGAGTTGGCTGAAAAACTGGGAAACGTTAGAGAACCAAAACCTACCTAATCTAGAGGGTTATGACCTCATGTATGGATGGCGCACATACCTATGGTATGAAGGAGATAAGTTAAATAAAGATATCAGTTAGCACATAATTAGAGAAAGTCTTTTAAACATATGGAAACGGTATAAAAATGGTATGGAACCAAACACACCTCTGTGGCTAAGGCCATTGGAAGCAGTACTGTGGCCAACCTCAAGGGAAGAAATCTGAAAATATAGAGAGTAGGCTTGCGAAATTCAGTTGGAGGGTGATCCATTTTTAGTATCCAAATTTCAGTGGTTACCCAGATCCATTTTCGGGAGCCTCCCAAAAAAGTTTGAGAACCACTGCACTAAAGGATACTCAGTTAAGCATGCTCAGTGGAATGTACTTGCAGAACCTGATGGAAACTTCCACGTTAAATCCATGAAGTTCCCCAAAAGATACCAGAAATAAAGGGATGTTATTGATGGGTGTTATATACACTCAAATTCTCACTCTACACATTAACCCTATGTATGAGCAGGTATTTAGACCTCTAATCCTCTACAGTCTGTCAAGATTGAGTGCAAGACAGCAAAAAACTTTGTGTCTTGCACCTAATTGTATTAATTTAATCATATAATTGACCGTGGCCTTTATCTATCTTAGGTATCATTTTTATTGTGGTATTAGCAACTACAGGCAGTCTCCGAGATACAAACATTCAATTTGCAAACAACTCATAGTTAAGAATGGGGATGAGAAAACAGGAAGTGAGAGAGAGAGATCTATGAAGGTAATTCGCTCCTGAAAGAGTGATCATGGGGAAAAGATGTCTCCACTAAAGCTTTATCACCAATCCTTGTTCTCACAACAAGCCAATTTTTTTCAAACCCAGTAGTCACAAGGAGAGAAAGTAAAATCTTCTGAACAGGAACACAGACAGCAAAACAAACCCCACAGGGGTGTTAACCCTTCCCTATGCTATCCAAATATATTGTGTGTGTGTGTATATATACACACACACACATACACACATATATATGGCTGCATATACATATATGGCTGGAGTTACACTTGTTTCAAGTGTACCTGTTTCAAGTTACATACAAATTTAACTTAAAAACAAACCTACAGAACCTATCTTGTCGATATCCTCAGATCATGAGTGCACAGCTAGAAATGTATGTGTATTGATAAGTCTGAGAAAATGCTGTCTTCATACAGACCTGAAATGACTTCCAATAGTAACATCAGTTTAAGGCCATTCCTGAAATCCTCTTCAATATTCTCAATCTGGGTGCCTGCTTTCCGAAGGTGGGAATTGCACCAGGCTGTAAATGTCTGCAATTGCAATTGTTTGAAATATTAGAAAAAATAGCAAAATAGCTGTTACAATCCAACTCAGAAAATAGAATGAGCTTTAGCATAACATTTGCATGTTTCCCATTTTAATGGCTAGATCTTAGCTTGAGGTAAAAGAAAAGTAAAATTCTAAGAGTATCGCCCACAATATTCAGCAAATGCAAGATATAGGGTGTTGTGTAGTTTCTGGGCTATATGGCCGTGTTCTAGCAACATTTTCTCCTGACATTTTGCCTGCATCTGTGGCTGGCTCTGAAAATGCCAGCTACAGATACAGGTAAAACGTCAGAAGGAAATCTTGTTAGAACACGGCCATACAGATTGGAAACCACACAACTCCTCAGTGATTCTGACTGTGAAAGCTTTCGACGATAAATCGAATGCACAATATCACACATTTACCAAATCGTACACATTATACACATTTACCAAATCACACATTTACCAAATCATATGTCTAAGGTTATGCAGAATCATAGCATTATAGCTAACATCTCCATGTGGGGAATTTGTATTAACCACTATGATATAATGAGAAAGGTGGGAAGACATCCTGTAGACCTGTTTTTGTTGTCTCTTCCACCAAAGATTATTATGGTGTTTCAGAACTGAGGAAGCATCAGACACTGTGAAGAGGCCATACAGTAAGGCTGGATCTTACACTGCCCTATATACCAAGATCTGATCTCAGGTTATCTGCTTTGAACTGGATTATATGAGTCTACGCTGCCTGATAATTTGGGATAATCAAATAATCTGGGATCAGATCCTGGGATATAGGACAGTGTGGAAGGGGCCTAAGTTTCTCCAAATCATGAATTCAAGCCAAAAAGGAGCAGTGCTATTAAAGAAATAGACAGAAGGAAAGCAAAAGGAAGAGCAAAAGGACCGAGACAAGAGGTAGATTAAATGAACTGGAGAGGAGGCATTATGAAAACGATGATCTCTGTCATAAACATGCCCTATCTCTGCTTGGAAGATATTTAGTTCTCTGAAGGATTTCAAAGATGTTCATTACTTTGATGGAAGACTGCCAACAAATACCAGATGCTATAGGCTATATTTCAGAGCAAGAACCGGCAAAACCGCTTCTGAGTATTCCTTGATGGAGAATACGCTATAAAATTCATGGTCACCATACGTTAGCAGGCAACAATACACACACAATCGGCCCTATGAGGGCTTCTTAATGTGTATTTCATATGCCATTTTATACATATATATTTAGCTCTGTGTATATCCATCATCATGTTATGACGATAATGTTGTGCAATAACATGTGATGTGAAATAAACAAGTTACCGAGTCCATCTCTTATGGGGTACACATGCAGTTAACATTTGGAGTACACACTACCTCTTGCCCCATCTACATTGGAAAAGAGCAGGTTATCAAGAGGTAATTTTAATCTCCAAGAGAAAAAAAGAGTGTTACGATAATCAACTTTCCATTGTAAAAGCAGAGGGCTAACTGAGCTAAATAGAGCGATAAGAACAGTTATTAATTAATCTGTCTACCAGTCTTTTTGATCAGTGAAGCTGTCCCTATACATGACATATGTGATTAATGGTGACAAGAAACTAGAGACATGTTATTAGTAAATGGTGTTAGTGGTTATTAGCAAATTCTTTGGAACTTGATGCAACCTCTTCCATATGTCAGCCCCAACAATATATTTACATCTGCAGGGTTCTTTTGATGATCTCAGGAGGTTCCTGCATTTCGGTTTTGGAGCAACAGAACGGACAAACAATTTTAATTAAAAACTTAATTGAAATAGTACTTATAACTGAGGAAGGGACACATCTCATCAACATTGCAAATGTGAAATAATAACAAATTCAAATGCAGACATTTAAATTATTAAAAACAGTGGGTAACCTAGTAATTATCATTTGCAATTATTTGAAAAAAACATGCACCTTTGTCTTTTCAGAACTGGACACTTAAGTCAATAAGTGTGCATACACACATCATCATCTTTTTCAGTTTCACGCCCTCCAAGGGGGCAACTCTGCAATGGACTGGACCTTTAAACCAAGCAATAATCATCAGTTCTTCTTCCCACCATGGGTATTCTGTCCACCTCTCAATGATGAAAGGAAAGCCTCCAACCCATCCCTGCACACATCCTCGCCTGCCTATTTGTCAGCCAATCAGGAGAAGGCATGGGAAATCTGAATAGCTGCCAAAATGTATAAAATGTTTTATATTTCACTGTGAAGGGGTGCCTGTGCATTTTCAAGGGGTGACTTGCATCCCTTTTGGCCAAATTGTAATAAACCTCTGCAGTTTGCCTTCAAATCTGGAGAGCTTTGTTCAATGTTCTGGCTGTTCTGGTTTAGGAGAAGCTTACCGGGCATGGAGTCTTTAACTGTGGTCCTAGCTGAAGTCACCACACTACACCTTACAATATATGTGGTGCACCACAATCTAGTGCAACAACAGAGAAGGTTGTCCTTCTCATGGCTTTAAACTGGAGCTCTGATTGAGGCAAGAGATACAAAAGAACTTCCTCTAAACACAAAGCCCAAAAGTAAGTTCAGTTAAATTCAAATTAACAGTTTTTGAGAGACTTCTAGCATTTTGTGTTATCCAGAAACCAACTGATAGCCAATGCAAAAGTGGTTCTTCAATCAACACCTTTGACAATATTTCGCCCCTAGCTGTCCTACGTAGTAGTCTCACATTCTGCACTTTATCCCACACCTTCTCACCATTACTGCAGCTGACACTTATTTTATTCTAATGTTTACAACCTGGCCATGGTGCCAGTAATTTACCACTATGGTTAGAGGATCGCAGCTTGATTGAGCCTGAGTTGATGTTTTTATATGTATTTGTGATTTATTTTATATTGTGTTCACTTTTATGTTGTTTTTAGGCATTTTGTGCCATTTGTAAGCTGCCCCAAGTCCCTTCAGGGAGATGGTGGTGAGATTAAAAAATAAAGTTGTTGTTGTTGATGATGTTGATGTTGTTGTTATTATTATGCAGTTCACACTTCAAATTTATCTCAAGACCACATAAAAGGAGGGCCAGCTAGTATTTTAGTAGTATCATTTTGCATCATTTGGATTTTCAAGGTAGCAACTCCATAGCAGATTCTTTAACCTACCAGATATGCATACATGTAGCAAAATCTGCCTTCACCAGGAAAGATTGCAATTGAGGCAAGAAACATACTCCTGGCCATAACTGCAATTTCCCCCGGTATAACTCATCCACACAAATTTGAAGATGCTCTTGAGTCCAGTGCTGCTTCTGAAAAGCCAGGTTGCTGTGGTGCCCTGGAGTACATTTGCCCAATTTTAGTTGCTGTGTTAACAGCATTCTTTCCTGAGCAAGACAGATCTAGTTTCATTGGTTTGTGTTGTAATTACCTCCCAATTAGACTACTGTAATGTGCTCTTTGTGGACCCGCCCTGAAAAGTGTTTAGAAACAGCACCTAGTGGCCGCAAAATGCAACAAACAGAATGGCATGAAGAGTGGACTTTAGAAATCATATAATACAATATTTATTTTGCAAGAAGTGCATTGGTTTCTTATTTACTTCTAAACTTAATTCAAGTTACAGGTTTTAACCTACAAAGCCCTAAATGGTTAGGATATCCAAGAGACTATCCCCTCCCATATGAACCTGCCAGATATCTGAGGCCCCTTCCACACTACAGTATATCCCAGGATCCCATTCCATATTATCTGCTTTAAACTGGGTTATATGAGCTCCCACTGCCAGATAACCTGGGGGTAAACAGATAAATCTGGGTGCCCTTCCACACAACCCTATATCCCAGAATATCAAGGCTGGAAATCCCACATTATCTGAGTGTGGACTCAGATAATCCAGCTCAAAGCAGATATTGTGGAATTTTCTGCCTTGATATTCTGAGATATAGGGCTGTGTGGAAGGGTCCTGGGATCAGATCCTGGGATATATGGGCAATGTGGAAGGGGCCTGAGACTGACAGAGGGAGCTCTGTTGTGTGCTCCAACACCTTGCAAATTTATGACAGGAATACAAGTAACAGTTGAGTTTAGTAGCAACTCAACTGTGTAAATCCCTAGTCAAAGAAGTTAGGCTGAGTTCATCTCTTTTAAATGTCCATCAGGCAACCAAAACAGCACTGTTCAGCAATGTTTGAAATCGCTCTGTTAAAACTTTTAAAATATTAAATTATAGCATTGTTTAGGGGAGCTTTAAAGAAACAATTAATGAACTTTAACACATTATCATCATGCATAGTTTTAATTTCTTTCAATTGTTCATTGCCCTGAGAGCCCCGCTGGGTTGGGAGGTAAGCAGGAGGGAGAGAGAGTTGCCTCTCACTGACCCAAGGATTGAGTTTGAATAGTTGACAAATTGTATTCAGTTTATAAATAAGTTAACTGTGGCTTGTTTAGACAAGACATGTTTCATATAATGAACATTAGATCAGAAGCCATATCTGAACGATTACCTTAGCATTGTCAGGCCAAATGTCACTACCCAGAAGGCCCAAAGTACTGATGCTCAACCATTGACCTTCACTTGTATACATTATTTGGCACGTTTTATGGGCAACATTCATTATTGACACCAATTTCAATCTGGGATCAAGCCTGGTTATGGAAGCAGGCATGTAGCCGGGAGGGGGGGGGGCTTGAGGGGCCTCAGCCCCCCCCCCCCCAAATTCTCATGGTCCGCAAGAAGGCCTTACTGGTACATTATTTAAACTGTTATGTTTATTCATATCATGATCTGATCGCCATGGTCAATATATCCCATATGCATGGGGGTATTGGGGTAACGATACAAAAGGTTTGCTAGGGTAGACCCTCTTTCACTCAGACTCACCCCCCCCCCCCCCCCCCAATCAAGCTCAGTTCCCCTTGAATCAAAATCCTGGCTACGGGCCTGGGAACAGGGATTGTTTTGGTTGCCTTGATAGATGAATTATAACTGGACCAGACAGAACATTCCTGATGCTTGTGCTGA